CAGTGGGCTTGCTCCTGTCCTCTGTGTTGTACGTACACTTCGTTATAAGAACATCACCCTGCAGGATCACAATTAAATGTTTCAAAATGAGGAAATATTTACAATTTACTGATGAAAAATGTATTTTTTGACATCACCAGTTATCAGTTTGCTGTGGGGAGAAACTGCTTTGTGGAGCTCAGCTGCTGCTGCTTTTTATTTTATTTTATTTTTTTTTTATTTAAGCATCTAACAATGCAGCAACACTGTTTTAAAGCAATGCTTTCAAAGCAAAAAAGGAGAAAAATTAATCTGCTTTGCAAAATAATAAAATGCCTCTTCTGAAGGYAATATCTGCAGCAGAACACTAATCTGAATATTACCTGTGCAGGTTCATTATTTGTTTTATACTTACCGGTAAAACATTCACCATTTTCCTCAGAACTCGGATTGTCTGTAAAAGACAGAAAAATCCGTCTGATTCATGTTTTTGCAGCACGATTAAATTTCCTGTGTGAACTGGTTCCCCACCTGGTAGTCTGTGCTGAAGTGCTGGTCTTCCTGCACCACCTCCAGCTCTTTGCCTCCCCTCACCAAAACCGTCCTGACTCCACGGCCGGCCAGGTGGGTGTGCAGCTGGGATGCAAAAATATAGATCCCCCCTGGGGGCAAAGCCTGGAGGCACAAACAGGCAGACCAATCAGGAGACTTCCCAAGGAGTGAGCTCCTGCATTCTGTGAGGAGAAAAAAAACGACACGTTGCTAAATTATTGACCTATAAAGTGAACACATACCGTCTTGGTGCACGTGGAGGTGCAGTAGCCTGTGAGGTAGAAGGTGTGCTGTTTTGGAGGGATGGCCATGACCGGAGTGTAAACGAGGCCCAGCTCCATGATTCCTGCATCGTAGCGCCTCAGGCTGGGGGTGTAATACAGCCGAATCCCTGAAGAATCCCGTCGGCCTGCATGTGAAACATACGGTAACATTACTCCACACTCCAAGATCTCTTCATCGCTTTCAGCTCTCACTCTGTTTATTTTAGTTTGCAGCCACAGGAAATCCAACCGTAAACCCAATCTCTCTGTATTTCATGTTATCTATACCTCCTTAATTACCTCATTAAATCCCAAAAAGTGGTTTTAATCATTCAAATCAAGAAGAAACAAAATGGACGGAGAGAATGCTCAGGTGCTTTAATTTTAGAACAGAAAAAATAAATCCATCAATGCAAATACAAAATCCAGAGATTTTTTTTAATTGATTGTTAAATTGGACATATCATGCTTTTAAAATCCTTTTTCGCATTCTTCAATTGAGGTCTTTATAAAGTGGAACTGCAATGCTTTGGTCTGAATTCCTCCTTAGTGTAACTCYACAAGCCCCTCYTTCACCTCTTTTCTGAGGTGTGTCTCAGATCAACTCGTTTTGAAGCTGTCTCTTTAAAGGCACAGTGTGTAGGATTTGTTGTTTTCAGCGACATCTAGTGGT